TGGTTATTTTCTAATGCAAAAAATGCAGGAAAAGAAGGCACATTCTCTTAGTTCAAGACACTAGCAATCTAGGGGGAGAGAAGCTGGCTCAGCGGCTGAGTAGCACATACTCCTCTTGCAGAAGATCTGAGTCCAGTTCCCAGCACTCACATCAGGTACCCCACAGCCTCCTGTAACTCCAATTCCAAGGAAATCCTACACTATGGCCTTGTGGGCAATAATAACATGTGCAAATAGCTACACACAGACATAGACACATAATTTAAAATAAGTTTTTAAGTAAAGAAGCTAGTAATCTAATAAAGAAACATGGGGTTCCTGTAGGGAGGAGGAGCCACACATAAGCATGTAAGTGCAAACACCCCCCCACCCCCCACCTACATTGAAAACCACCTGCAGGACAATCTCTAATTCACAGAATGCAACTTTTACTTGGGGCATTTCTCTTCAATGGCTGACTTTAATGACAGGGTTGGTACAATTGGGGCTGTTCCAGCAACACGTCTTCAGGGGAACTAAAGGAACATTGCTTTCAAGTTAAGTAAAGTTGGCCTAGCAAGCCTAAGAATGAACAGGTAGCTGGGACCCAGTGCAGGGGCCAAGTTTCCAAGAGAGTAAGGTGTCCAGGATGCCGCCTCGTGGTTATAGAGCTTGGGTTCAGCTCATTCTCTTCACTGGGGCCAACTGATAATGTGAAATGAGTTCTTCTGGACAAATGAATTCCAGGAGTACTGTTTTTGAAAAACAGAGATGATCAATTCTGGTCTTCGAAAGAGTTGGGGCTGTCTTCCTTTTGCATGGGCTATGAGACAGGAAATAGAGCAGAAAAAGCCAGCGAAGCTATCAGGACACTTATACAAAGGGCACATCATTTCCTGGGGACAGAGATGGAAGCCTTGGAGACAATGGTATGGACAGGGATAAACAGGGAACAGAAAGTTTCCATGTCTGGTTTTGTTTGTTTTAGGTTTTTCTAGTTTCAAGATAAAAATAACAGAACAATAGAGGAATAAGAAATTGTGTTTTCATAATGATATGGCTTATGAAGCTCAAGACATTTTTGCATTTATTTGTTGTGTGTGTGTGTGTGTGGGTGTGTGTGTGTGGGTGTGTGTGTACATGTGCACATGTTTGGCACACATACAGCGGTCAGAGGTCAACTTTCAACTGTTGGTTCCTTCATTCTACTACATGGGTTCCAGGAACAAATTCGGGTCATCGTAAAGTCAACAGCAAAAGCCTTGACCCACTGAGCCATCTCAACAACCTAGACCTAGAAAGATTTTCATACTTCATGAAGATAAGAACATCCTCCACAGGTATTATTTTACTAGGGAAGTTGCTCAGAGTTCAATATTGTTTTTATTTTTAAAATGTTTGTGTATAGGTGTTTTGCCTACACATATGTCTGTGTACCATGAGCATGCAGGGCCCCTGAGGCCAGAATAGCACGTTAGATTCCTTGGGACTGGAGTCACAGACACTTGTGAGCTGTGGTGTGGGTGCTGGGAACTGAATCTGGGCCCTCTAGAAGAGGTGCTTTTAACCACTGAGCCATAATGTGGTCAAAAGATCTTTCATCCCTCTATAGATAGCTCTGTAGTATCCAGGGAGCCATGGAAACATGGGCAAAAGAGCGCTGGAAGGGTTGAGGTCCAATCCTTGATCACGTGACCTGATAGAGGGCTTTGCAGTCCCACTGTGACACCGATTCATGTTGTACAATGATGTCTTTGTCCACATACAGGGATACACACACACACACACACACCACCCCCACAGTTCTTTTTATCTTCAAGGTCCATGTTCTAAGGTATTACATTTGCACCACAGGAAAAATACAGAAATAAACTGTTTTAACCTCAGTCACCCATGTTTTCTACTCTGGATGGGACTTCAGGCAGCGACCTATCCAAAGCTGGATGTTTAAAATCATCGTATTAAGAACAGAGATCCACAGGCCCACTGCCTGAGGCTCTGATTCAGCACTACTTAAAACCAAAACTCAAAGCCTCCTAGGTGGTTTAGGCATGAAAGCCAGATTTGGACCCACAGTGAGTGAGTCATCCTCTGACACTGCTGGGTGCTGTCCGCTGTCGCCATGGAAACCACTGGTGTAGACCTCGGCAGCGTGACTGAAGTTTTGGATTTTTTTTTAAAAGCATGTATCTGTTTCAAAAAATAGAGGGCATTATTTTTGGAGGAGGAGATGTGTTTTCTCTCCCTAAATATTTATATTTCGTGAGAAAAATCAAGGCTCCCACAGAGCAGAAAATTTTCTCTCATTTAAAACCATCGGACAGAAAACGGAAGTCCTTTGCCACGCACACCCAGATGGAAGGAACTGATGAGAAGTTATTCCTTGAGGCAAGTTCTAGACCACCTGGACTGTCCTTCGGGTCTTAGCTGAGGTAAGATGCTCTGCTGGAGGAGTCTTAGGCCTAGCTAGGGGCCTTCCTGGTGACGGAGTGAGGAGATGACCAGCCAAGATGGCATCAAGGCTCTGGAGGCCCCAGCCGGAGGCAGACCTGGAAGAGAATGACCCTCCGGAAGTTGCTGATGCCTCAGGGTGGTTGAGGAGCTGGGTGACCAGTGCTGACAAATACACCGTGTCTACTCTGACTGCAGAGAGACTAAGTGGTACCCTCTTCCATCAGGCTTCCAAGGCAGAGAAGATGCAGGAGAGGGGGACTGAGAGATGGTTTCCATCACTGTGCTGAAGGGTTGGGCGGACAAATTCAGGGCTTGGTGGTTTGTTCTCTTTTCTTTCATTTAAAAATTTGAACCTTAGAGGCTTGTATTACAGATGGAAGTTTCTTGGGATTCATGGCTATTTGTAAACCCTGATAGATCTCAAGTGCCAAGGCAGAGTTTCCCTCCCAAAAATGCTGTCTGGGATCTGCTACTTTGGTAGTTCCTATTACACTACAGTGGCCAGGAGTCCTGTGGATACTAGAGTCACACTTTCCCACAGTTCCTTCCTTCCATCTCTCCTTCCCTCCTCCCAGCCTCAAAAGGGACTTTCCTTTCTTTAAAAATAGAAACAATTGTTGTTATCATTCGAGATAGATTCTCACTATGTAGCCCTGACTGGCCTGGAACTTCATATGTAGACCAACCAGGCTGGCCTTGAACTCACAATGATCCATCTGCCTCTGCCTTCTGATTAAAGGTGCCACTAGAGGCAGAAGGTCCTTTTGAAACAACCACTCAGCTCTGGGTGCTGAGCTTTCTCCAGCCAATGCTCTCAGCATGCTTTTCCCTATTTCCTGGCACAGGAATCCATCTTGGATCCTTGCTGGCCATCAGTGTGTTCCATCCCGCCACCTACTCAAAGCACAAGGAGAACCGAGGTTTGTACCCACCTGCCTCTGCCAAACCCGTCCACACCTCCATCACATCAGACCCCACACCTCCATCACATCAGACCCCACACCTCCATCACATCAGACCCCA